GCGATCAAAAACGGATGGTATGCAACATATGCAACAGTCATTTTTCTCCCAAGCCCAGCCTCTTCTTACACCTGGGACCTAGGTAGCTTTTCATCTACAATTATATAAGCTGTTTGAGTCGGTTCCGGTGAAGGTGGGATACACCATTCCCTTGGATGGTCTTTAGGACCGCCTGCCTGCCAACCTGTCGACACACGGCTGATTCTCCCACCATTTTGTCGGCTGCACAGTTCCGTTCAACTGACAAGCAAACTTTTGTACAGTTTGAGAATTTCCTTCCTCTCAAAAGTGGTGTGAGAAAAATTTGGCGTTTGGGCCGAAGAAATGAACAACCTGTAACGCAGTCCGGGCCCACTATAAGGCAATCGAAACAACTACTGCAGCGCAGCGAGTTACCAGTAGCAGGTTTTGTTCGTGCAACTGCTGAAGAAGGGTTTCTTCTTCATCAGGGGGCTGCACAACATCATGCGTCGGGAAGGGCATGTCTTCAAAGCCCTCACCTCACACAGAGTGGCGAAGCTCAAAACAAGAGAGTTGATAGGAGCCCCAACGCGTGGCCACATGAAAGGAAGCCTGCGTGTATACCAATGTACCAGAAGCCCTGAAACGGCCAAACATGTTAAATTCAAAACCGTCAAACCCAATGTCCGTACTTTTTTTCCGGTGATTTCCGTCACTTGAACGGTACATTCCGTATGTGTTTTTCGGTCACTCCTGCATGGAAGTTGAAATGTCCACCTTGAAAAAACAGAAAACTCAGCGATTCCAGATCTAGCTAGGTTCTGCTTTCCCTTCCCCAATCGTTTCAGTATTAATCAGCTATAATGGCCACCGCAACTTCTCCAAACCTTCCAGGCAAGATGGAATCAAGGCATTCCATGACACAAGCAGTTGAAGTCTCGGCCACTCAAAGCATATAAACTAAACAACAAAAGCTCGATCACACGTTGAAAATTGCAATTTGCGCACGGGGCAATTTAGTGATCCAATATATCATCATACATCATCTAAATGCCCTCTGGTGATTGCGACATCCTCTGTGCCTCTGTGAACGGAAAGTAAGTACGCTCTCACTCCCATGGCACCCTGTTCATTTGCCAACAACTCCAGACTGGAGATCTCAGGTTGAATGGTCCCATGATTTCCCAAACAAACAGCAATAAGTATGCAAAAGTATCAAAAGGCACCCAAAATCAAACAAGGTAATTGTTAATTATAAAGAAAGGTGATGTCAACAAAAGTAGTTTTTGCATGAAATCACATTTTTTTTGCATTTAGGCTTACTAGGTAGGGGATGAAGGCTTTCCTGAGAAGGAGAATCAACAACAACACCTGTCCGAGTAGCACAAAAGCCAAGGTGACCCCGCAAAGCCAGAATGCCAACATCGTCGGCCAGCCAAAGTGAAGCATGAGTGACCAGAATTTCCACTTCCCAGGTGTCAACCAGGTGTGTGAGATGAACATGGCAAAAGCATCAGTTGGCTCCGAAGCTTTGTAGAGCTGTTCCTTCTCCGAACAGCTTCGAGAATGTGGATCGGTCAGCCAAAACGTCCTGGCCTGCCGCAAGGTCTTTCGCAGCGAGACACCTCGTATGAGATGATATGCTGGGCTGCTCATCGTGAGAGACATTGCCGAGGTGATCCTGTGTGGTGCGATGTCGCTGTCAGACTTTGTACTAAGTTGGCTGGCAAGCTGCATCCCACTGAGACCAGGCTGGACCACTGACTCATCCCATAATGTTCCATCACATTGGAATTCGGGCTGCTGCTGCTGCTGCTGCTGCTGCTCCGTTGCAGGGCAGCAAGAGGGCTCTAGCGAATCGTGCACTATCTTGCACTGATCGTTGCAGCAGTTCATTTGACTGACGGCGTTGTCATTCTGAAACGCCGCCGGTGAAACGCAAACAACTACGGACACTCTGCCACGTGTCCACACCTTTGTGCCAAAATGTGCACAGGGAGGCGTTTGATTTCATGTTCAGTTTGTCAAGGCTGATGGATCCAAAATTTCTAGGATGCGCAAACCAACCATCTAGAATATGGATGATCTGCAGGGCAACCCACCCTCCCCCTCCCAATCTCTTGCAAAGACTTTGTTTTCGCCGATCTGGGTCCCCCGACACCTGGATGATCTGCAGGGCACCCGCATCGTTCCTGATGCGTGGTTTTTATTCAGTGTGGACCATCCACGCGCTGCTTCGACCGAACGAGTACGAGTACAGTAGGAACTCCTGACGGACCTGCGATCAGCGATCCACCGATCCATGTGTTTCACGCCCACGTCATCCGCGATCGGCGATGGGCCTCTTTGAGCGCGCCATCCGCGCTCACACAAAACTTGATCCATCGTTGAGTACGAAACTTGTGCTGTGCAACGATGTTAACTTATGAGAAAAGGGTGTTCAAAACAAGTAGCTGGTTTGCACTGCATGGCGCCCGGTCTTTCCATCAAATGGCTCTCCCAAAAGGGCGACCCTAAATTCCCAATAGAAGGCCGGCGCCGCATGGATTTCGAGAGGCTTCCCACTTCGCCCTGCTACCAAGAAAAGGGGGTTTCTCCCACACCCGTTGCTGGGGGGACTTCCTCCTCCCAAAACAAACATACACACCCAATTTCAATGGGCACTAGGAACAAAAACCTACTAGGGGCTCCTGGCCTTACTACTCGGAGCAAGGACGCTACTAGGGGCTCCTGGCATCGCTACTAGGAGCATCCTTACTAACAAACATACACACCCAATGGATCCCAAATCCCAATGGCCGTGTTTGAGGATTTCGACCTCGATCACGAACCACTAAGTCATACAAACAAAGTCACTGAGACGCCCGGGCGACCCCGTTGCTGGTTTGTAGCCACACCAGACCTGCGGTTCCCACAAAGGAACCCGACACAGGTAGGAACTGGTCGAAGGCGAAGGAATGCGAAGGAAGGCTTTCCGGAAGGCATCGTCTTCGCAAGACTGGGCCATTTGCTTCGATTAGAGGCTGAACAAGGCTGGCAAAATTTGGATGCCAAGACTGGCCATTGCAAAGGGATGCCAGTGGGGCTGGAGAAAAGAATGAGAAAAGAGCCTTTAAAGTGCTTGGGTACCAGAGTGTGGTTGGAAGTAGCAAGGTCGTTGAACAAACGCGCCGTCCATTAGCTCACCCAATTCCACCATTTCCCACAGCCCACCATTCCATGGGCACTCAATGGGTCCAGCATAACCGCACCGTGGGGTTCCCTGCAGGGTTTCTGTCACTTTGGACGGCTCAAACGAGTCGAGCCGCGTTCGCGCCCAGGCCGCTAGGGCCAGCTGGGCGTTTTGCTTCGCCCACGGCGGATGTTGGCACGGCAGGCCTCTGAAGACCCAACCCATAAAGGAACTGGATGATGACTTATATTTAAAATAAAACTGTTGAATCTTGTTGGATCAACTCTAAGGAATCTGGCACATCCCCCTCATCTGGTCATGTCTGCAGGAACGATTGAGCCAACTGGGCGAGAAGCCTGCCGGCACATCGCTACTAGGAACAAGTGCCTTACACCTAGGAGCAAGAAGCTACTAGGGGCTCCTGGCCTTACTAGTAGTACAAGGTTCACTAGCTAGTAGCGTCTTTTGCTCGCCTGCCGGCACATCGCTACGACGCCGGCTCGCGTCCCACGTCTCGGGCACCTCCACAGTCGGCTCGCGTCACCGCCCGGCGTAGGGGCCGAGCCAAAGGCATCGGTGTCAGCGAAAGGCATCGCTGCTTTTGGGAGACCTGAACCTACATCGACGCAAGAAGGACTCAAGTCGGAGTGTAGAGGCAGATCTTCGACTCACGAGGAGAGAACAAAAACGACACGTCTTAACCCCTTGGGGGATTTTGGGCTTCTTTGGATTTTGAAAGAACTTGTGAGATCTGCTGAGTCCACTGCTGAGTCTATTTCACAAGGCTGCAACAGTCCGCCAAAGGCAACGAAACCTCCATAACGACCACAGAGCCTACCGCCAGAGTCTACTGCACAGCAAGTCTCTTGTTTTTCACCCGACAGGATTGGGGTAGCACCCGACATTCAGAAAACACCCACCTGATTGTGACCTTGGCCGCTACAGTGCATAACCCAGCGCAATGGAAAAACACACTGACACACACAAGAAGCCATGACATTGACAACACACAAGGACAACACCAAGCATAGGCACAAACCACACGATAACAAACAAGAAACTACGATCAATGGCAACACCAACAACAAACAAGAAGCGATGGAACATACAACGCGCAATGACAACAAACACCTTAACCACAAGTGGCCCGGCATGACAGCAAACAAAAACACATTGACACACCTAAGGGCAACACCAAACATAACCACAAGAATACACAAGGACAAACATTCAAGAATCACGGCAAAGAATGAGACACATGCAAACACCACGGCAACACCAAGCATCACCAGAACTACCTGGTATGCAATACTTGAAAACCCCAGGACAAACACCACAGCTCACCAACACAATGACACACTGACAACACCAAATCCGTTGTCAAAGCACACGCCGCGGGCGGCGATTCCGTGGGCCGCAACGGCTGACCCCTGGGCGGGTGAAGATAGCTCGAAGAGGTTCACGGACCCGATAAACTATCCCAGTTTGGTATTTTAGGTGATGGGTCCTAGTTCAGGTCACTGGATACCTCTGTTTGCTTTTTTTCTTGTCGGCTGTTCCACGTGAATGGCATTGTCGACCGGAGTGGCCGGCCACCCATCGACCCTCGCGGCTCTTGCGCCAGGGCCAATCAAAAGCGAGGTGGAAACGGGAAAAGAACACATGCAAACTCCGGTCGGCGCAGGCTTTGGACGAGTTTTCCAGCGATTTTGTTCTGGGCTTCCCTGGGCGGGTAAGAATGCAATGAAACTGATATGTCTTGGACATGTTGAGCCAAATTCAGGTCAATCCACCAGAATTAAACAAACCGACTGTCACTTGAACAATTTAACTTAATGCATGTCACGCTGAAAAGCTCGCAAGCAAATCAGCTCATGGCCAAACCCACACGCTCATCTAAGCGTTGCCGCAGCGCATCCCGGCTCAGAATCCCAAAGAAGTCATTCCTCGGAAGAACACTACTAGCGATGGCCTCCAACCCAATGGCGATGGCCTCCAACCTAATAGCGATGGCCTCCAACCTAAGAGCGATGACCTCCAACCTACACCTACTAGCGATGGCCTCCAACCTAATAGCGATGGTCTCCAATCTACTAGCGATACATGGTGAGGATTCAGCAAGTACTTTGTCAGTGCCTGGAAAGACGAAAGGGCCAGGAAGGGAGGCGGTGAAGTGGGTGAGCTACGTAAGTGGAGCAATTGGCATGTCTGAAGTCCCTCCCATGTGCTAGATGTTAACGCTCAAACATGATCAACCATGTTCAAGCGGCACAGACTCTTATCATTGGAATGCATGGCCCTGCAGGGCAAGCCGGGAAAGAGGAAGCGGAATGGCTTGAGGATCAAACAAGCCTCCCTGCTTCAGGTCCAAGGAAGACTGGCCGACTCCAGGTCTCTGAGTATGTAGACTCCTGATGTTAAATCGACAAAAATACAGTAACATGTCTCTAGAGTTCTTTCAAGCCAACTGATGTTTATGATTTATAATGGAATGCCGGAATGCCCTATAGAAGATAAATACTGACTCTTTTTCAAGAAGATCTCCATCTTTAGTGGTCATATCTTTACCGCAGATCGGGCCGACCAAGGTCTTCCACGCTGTGCCACGCTGGTCCCTTGGGCCGCCCGACAGCTCCTCGCGTGCCCAAGGCCAGGGCTCAGGCTGTGCGAACTCATCCTCCTCGAGGGCAAGGAGGAAGCGACCAGAAAGCACCGGAAGCCCAATGGATCCCATGTTGGGATTCTATAGCTCTATCTATGGTGACTCTTTGGAACCAGTGGTTACCAGCGACATCGTGGTTTGCTTGGATGCCCAAAGGTCTGGACCCCTCACCTGGCAAGCTGCAATGACCTCACCTCACCTCGCCAGGATGGTTCTTCACCTAAGGGAAGACTGGGATGAACTGTGAGTCCTAGCTATGGATCTCGATCGATTCACATTCGCATCCCTGTGTCTGGGAGTGTCCGGCATGAGTTCAAAGGGTCATTTGCAGACCTTCTTTGCTCCTGTGGCAGAAATCCAGCATTGTCCCGTTTTCTGTCGGATCGCACGCGAGATAAATGGTTCAATCTCCCCCCTGCCCGAACCAAAACCATACCACTCCAAGTCCACGAATTTCCTTCACCCAAATCCCACGCCGTCGGCAGCGACCTCCGCCGTCGCGACCTCCGCCGTCCTCGGACCTCGGTCGAACCGCGGCGCGGAGACCGCGCCGCGCGGAGGCGTCTCCTCTTCGCCGGAGGCACGGGCCATCCAGCCACCCAGGCAGGTGAAGCAAATCTCCGGCAAAGGGGCACCCTGCCACATGAGAAGACGGTGGGAGGGGACAAGGGAAAACATGATGAAAGTTCGGGTTCGGGTGAGATTTTCTCGGTGGCTAGTGGGTTGAAAAGTATATATATAGCTGAGCTACTAGCTGAGCTGCTTTCAGCTGCCTGACTAGCTGTCTGAGGGAGGGAAATTGGTCAGTTTACAAGCCATGGGTGTTATTAGGAATTGATCATGCTATGTTCTATCTTCCATGCGTGCTTTTATTTAATTGTCCGCCAAACATGCATGGCCGCCAATTGCGAGATAGCCTGAGGTTGTGGGAACCCTCCAACGCATCACACTCTGTGGCACCTTCACATGCACCAGAAATCATGCTCTTCATGATCCTTCACATGCCGCTCACCCTGGTGGCCCAGCCGCCACCTCATCAAGCTCTAGGGTGGAACGGATCGTGGTCTCCACCTCATTCATCAACTCCTGGAGCGCGGGACTTCCATGTCCACAGTCGCTCGCCGGTCGACTGGCGAGGACGGTCGCTGGGTTGTTTCTTGTCGTGAAGGACTCTGGATCGATCGGGTTTTGGGGTTTTGGTTTAGGTCCTCCTAAGACCCTACGTGGTACGATAATTTAGATTGATTTAGTATGAGGGAGTTCAGAAACCCGGGCACCAGTTTGGGGCAGAAGGGAGGCCCTGAACAATACACAACCAACAACCTGCGACAAGGTATGCGATGCTGCGATGCACATGTCGGGTTGCACATTGGCAGCTGAGCGAGAACAAATAGCCGAGTAATTCTCGAATCTCCAGCTTGATTGCATGTCTCTTTTGGGGATGCATTGACCTAGAACACCCATTATAGCGCCGGCATGGACCAATAGCGATGGAAACTAATACCGATGGCCATAGGAATGGCCTCCAACCTAAGAGCGATGGCCTCAATCCTGGTTTTGGATGAAGTGCTGCGGTGCCAGCGTCTGTCCACGTCTGTCCATGTCCGACCAGACTGGTCGGGGTCCGTTGTACACGTCCGATCGTACTCGGACTGGGAAACCATGCGATGACACCTGCAAATACCTGGAAGCGCTGAGGTATCCTGAGGTCTTTGGTTCCAAATCCACCTGAAAAAACATAACACCTGCTTCAAAGCGAAAAAAGGAGTGAAACTGTGGGACCACCAACCGCCCCGGTTCGCACACTGTGCGACCACACCGTCGATCATGATCGATTGCACTCGGCACCGGTTTGATGGTGTTTTTCCACTCGGCATCGTTCAGCAGAGTGTCCCAAAGCTGCGCACATCTTAGACGCGCCAGCAAAAGAACCAAACAAAGCCAGCAAAAAGAAGAGCTGTGAAGTTCCACAGCAGTGTCATCACAATGCTTCTAGCGGACATCACTGCTACTACGAAGGCCGCTCCTACACACATGGTGAAGCAAATGGAGACCATTAAAATGATCTCAACGGCCTTACATCGCCCCAAGCAGCTTTGCGCCCGCCTGTTGGCCAAGTGGCCAAATAGAACTCCTACGGCTGGGAGAAAAAGCAAGTCAACGCTCACGACGTGGCTGAAGAAGAAGGCCACCAACGCCTTTACTGGCGCCCCCGCTTTGCACAATGCCAGGAAGGAATCTAACGAAAAGCATAGCAATGGTGTGATTGGCCAAATGATGTAGTGCGATGACACGCTTCCACTAGCCCTCATCAGTTTCAAGACTTCTTCTCGAAATGGCCCTCTCACATGTTCAGAGAAGGCCGCCAGGCTCCCATACCACTCGATGATGGCGGCGTGAATGCAGTCACGGTCAAAGTCGTTGCTACAATTCACCTTCATCACATCAAAGTTTGCCAGCTCAAACCTGAGACGTTGTCGCGGAGCGTTGGCCGGCACGTGGGTGCATTCTGATCGTTTAATTGAACCCTTAATTGAACCCATTTCAAAGAACTTTGCAAGATCAATATATGCAGTAGAGACAACATGAACACACAACAACAAACAGGAGTTCCAAGTTGAGGTGACTCTATTCGAGGGTAGAGGTGCTGCTAATCGCTCACTTCGGGTCAAAAAAATCAGCCCAAATTGGAACTGAAAAATACTGATGCTCTGGGTGGTGTACCTCAATTTTGCTGTGGCTGTGTGATTTCTGTAGAGCGAAAGGGCCAATGCAGGCATCAAGAGTGCAAAAACAAAGGTCATGACCGCCAGCAGGACTAAAGGGTTGCTACCCTCTACCCCTGCCCTTGCAATCCACAATGTGAAGGTGAACATCTGCCAACCACCAAAGACCATCAATGCGGAGACCTCATTATTCACGGGTGACATGGTGATCTTGCCTCCTGGATTCAGCTTGCGATAGGCTGCAATCTCGAAGACACACCACAATCTTGAGAGAAGCGGTGCGCTCCAAAGTACGCGCAGCTCGGCAGAAGCTGACAGAAACCCTGAAATGGACATGATTCCCTCTTGCATTCTGTCGGTGTCTGCCTGATCAATGCAAACAAAATCCAGGAAACACAGATCGGACTTTCTGCTAGGTAAGTATGGGAACAGGACAGCTCCTCCAATGTTTGCCAGCAAGCCGGCCACTTGAATCCAGCAGCCGGAGGGAATCACACCTGTGAATCCCAGTGCACGAACTTGCAAATTGGAGAAGGGTGGAAGGATATCTGCCATACAAAGCCTTGGATGCAAACGACCATCTGCCCACTTAAACTCGTTTTCCTTGTTATGGGGTGAGTACAAACAGGGCCGGCGGGACCTCGTAAAGGCTAGGGGATGAATATGGATGAAGGCTTTCCTGAGAAAGACAATCAACAACAACACCTGTCCGAGTAGCACAAAAGCCAAGGTGACCCCGCAAAGCCAGAACGCCAACATCGTCGGCCAGCCAAAGTGAAGCATGAGTGACCAGAATTTCCACTTCCCAGGTGTCAACCAGGTGTGTGAGATGAACATGGCAAAAGCATCAGTTGGCTCCGAAGCTTTGTAGAGCTGTTCCTTCTCTGAAAAACTTCGAGAATGTGGATCGGTCAGCCAAAACGTCCTGGCCTGCCGCAAGGTCTTTCGCAGCGAGACACCTCGTATGAGATGATATGCTGGGCTGCTCATCGTGAGAGACATTGCAGAGGCGATCCTCTGTGAGGGTGTGATGTCGCTGTCAGACTTTGTACTGAGTTGGCCGGCAAGCTGCATCCCACTGAGACCAGGCTGGACCACTGACTCATCCCATAATGTTCCATCACATTGGAATTCCGGCTGCTGCTGCTGCTGCTGCTGCTCCGTTGCGGGGCAGCAAGAGGGCTCTAGTGAATCGAGCACTACCTTGCACTGATTGTTGCAGCAGTTCATTTGACTGACGGCGTTGTCATTCTGAAACGCCGCCGGTGAAACGCAAACGACTGCGGACACTCTGCCGCGTGGTGACAGCTTTGTGCCAAAATGTGCACCGCGATGCGTTTGGTATCATATGGTTTCATGCTCAATTTGTCACAGGCTGGATCCCAAAAAAAAAGGACGTGCAACCATCTACCATATTTATCTGGGCAAATTCCACCCCGGTCTAGCCCCAAAACATCCAAAAACTGTGCGAGTCAAAGAAACAAGGGTTCGAACCTTAAACCCCCAAAATCACCACTGCAGCTCGTCCCTGGCAAAACTGCGACTGCTCCTGCATGAGCCGTCGCCTCTGTTGGCTCCACCGGACATCCCGGTGTGGCACGCCCTGCAGGATCGTCTCACCTCGGCGCCATGGGGCCCAAAGAAAAAGGACGAAGCAACAAGGCCCACTTCCACCTCCCCAGTGACCGAACTTCAGTGAACTTCTTTTTATAGACCTTCAAGATGCAACCGAGACGGCCACTGAGATCTCAGCTGGTCACCGGGAGGGTGGCATACTACGCATCCAATCAAACCTTCCCGCTAAATCATGTGTCTCTCTCTCTGGTGGTGGGAAGGCCCCCCATGCCAAGAGGGTGACCCGACAAGACTGCCATGACTACGAGTAACTCCCATCACCCACTCGCCACTTGCTTGGATTTGCTGCCGGGAAAAGATTCGATGAGGATTCACATTGGATTCACCCAAAAAACAGCGAAGACCAGGCTTGTCACCTGTCTTTCGACCAAGAGGCGCCAGCCAGGACCTGCTTCACGATACCGCTCCTGGATGGATTTGGCGAAAAACAGCACCAACAAATATCAAAAAGACCTTCGTGGGGCATTGGAAGCTCTTGGTGCAGGTACTTTGTAAGTTCCTTCTTTGATTTCAGAAATTGCTTGATGTTTTGTGTTGCAGTGGCCCCCAAAGAACCATGAGTCCTTCTAGCAAACAAAGGCAAACGGCGAACAGTTCCCTTTAAGCCGAAATACCACCCTGCAATGTTGACCTGAGCTTAAGGTGTAGGTGGCTCACTGTCTCCGTGAGCCGGACGTGTTGACCTCACTGTCTCCACACCCGCCCCGCTTCCTCAAAGGTCCGGTCGATGTGCGTCACCAGCACCAAGAGCCGCTCAGTGCTCCGCGCGATGCCCGAGACCTGCGGTCTTCACCCAACACCCCCGTGCCCGCGCGGTGGCTGCGGGAGCCGTTCCGCTGGAACGCGGGGGGGTTCGGGAGGAGGAGGAGTCGACAGTGGCCGAATGGTCCGCTACACGTCCGTCCCAGCTCGACGGGACCACCCGCAGGATCGGACGCGGGTCAACCGATGGTTGGCCGAAAGTGGTTGGGTTGAGTCGATTGCACCGGTGTGTGCCCCCATGCTTGGTAGCTGTCGCTTGTAGCTATCCAGCTTGGCTGATGTGTGGGCAAATTATCATGATCATGTAGTTTCAAGCCGGAGTCGATCCAGGAGATGATCGAGCTTTCTGAGGTTTTTTAAAATCATTCTGATTGTGAGCACGGCAATTGAGGCAGGAATTCTACACCTGTACCGCCCTAGAACGACCCGTGACCCTTCCCCGTCGAAGGGGCTCGACAAATCACCTGGGTCTGCGCATGTCTGCGCCTGGGATTCTCATCAGTTCTCCATTCCCTTGCAACAGCCTGGCCTGAACTGACGGAATCCACCTACTACGTACTATAACATACCCCAGACACTCCATGTATGCCGCTATATGCCATATATGCCTATACATTGGGGTGGTTTTGGGATGTTTTGGGGGTCAATGTAGGCATATATGGCATACATGGGAGTGTCTAGGATACTATATTCATCATCTCCCATGGTCTACATCCACCTGGTCATCTCCGCTCGATCCACCGTCGTCCTTCACGCACAGCGCTTCCGCGTCGCTTCCGTCGCTCGTCGCGCACGGCTGCGGTGCTCGGCGAGAGGCGAAGTGGTAGGCATCGTCCTTGGTGTGTCGACCCGCCTTGAGCACCCACAGGAGCGTCACCTGGGGGATGGCGGAGGTGCTGAAACCACACCGTTTTTGTCGGCGGAGCTGCTTCGGTCATGTATTGGGTTGGATTCCAAGGAATGGCATGGCTTGAGGACGCTACTAGGAGCAAAGGGCATCGCTACTAGGAGCAAGGACGCTACGAACGGGGCTCCTGGCCGTGCGAGCAAGAGGACGCTACGAACGGAGCAAAGGTCCGCCAGTCCAACTCATCCGAGTGACATTGCTGCCCAACCATTCGCAGGCGCGAAGCAACAGCCGGCCCATGTCATTTCCTGAGCTCGCACAGAACATCACGCAAATACCGCTTAGTTTTACCAACACAGGATTTAGAGTCTTTGGGTTCATGCTAGGCTTCGTCCATACAACAGAGTTAACGCAAGGCACTCAACCCCCCCAACAAATCTCTGCCTTGTCTTGGGAAGACCTTCGACCTGTTGTCTCTTGAAAAACATTTAAAAAAAAAAAAGCTCCTCAAGTCCCCCACTGGCCCTAGCAACTTGGTCAAGGGCACCATAAGGACACCTACTGGGAGCGGACAAATCCCAAGTCGACTTGACAATGGATGGTTTATCGGTTTGTCATCCAGCCACTACAGGACTCACTTGGGGTGCCGGGTCATGGCACCCTGGTTGACCACCGAAATGAGAATAGGCGCCCCCAAACATGGTCGACGTACCAGGGTGAAAAGGGTCTCCAGGCTTTGACTCACAAGAATATACTTGAGAGGCTTTTGTTCTCCGTTTGTAGTTATTTTTCAATTGATCCCTTCGATTTTAACCCATCTAATCGTAAACTAGAACTTCAGCTGACCTCCTTCCGAGATCGCTTTCGTGATAGATAAACCATGATAAAACAATACTCCCTAGGGATCCAGTCGTATCTTCTCAGAAGGTACTTGGACCCTTCAAAACTACATCACAGTGTCTCCAATCACCTTCTGAGAAGGTACTTGGATCCCTAGGGACTATACAGTTTTGGGGTGGGCAACATAGCCTGAACGCGATCGTCGCGCTCCGTGTCCCCTTTTTGGTCGACTTGCGAGCAAATCCTCGTCAACTTGTGGTGCCTTGCTTGCCACACTGGTGGGCTGGGAGAAAACAATCCTCAAATCCGGAAGGTTTCGGCCAATAACCAAAACGAATTTAGGTCCACCGAACAACTATAGTTGCTGTCTGTTGATGCTTGTTTTTTGTGCAGCAGCTCATTCTGAAGTCTGATGCCGGACACCTTTGCACAAAAAATCAACAAACATAGTCGTGAAGAATGTGAAGAGAACAAAGCAATGTAGTCGGGCTAAACCATATAATAGTGGCATATGCCAAACCAGAGCTACAATTGTACAGCGCGATTCGGCTGCTGGATTCACACCACCCGTCACCACGTGGTCTGTACATTCTGTTAAGCTAGCCGCGAAACAATGAAAACTTCTGAACTAGACTTAGAAGTCACATCGCAAAAAGGGCCAGGAAGAGTCTGGAGGTCACCAATCAGCTGACCAACGCTTGTGAGCCAATCAACGGATCGATGAACATGAAAAACAACCCAGCAGCCATATATACTGGAAGTTTCAGCCACCAACATGTGAGTCAACAACTGTTGAGCTTACTTGACCCTCTGCGCACAAACAAGCCTAGTAGATTTCTACAAAGCCTTTCTACTGCGAGCTAATTTGAAGTCACAGTTATCTACTTCCATCCTTTGGCCATCCACGTCTCATTTCAGCCTTCCAAAGGCCCCTTCACCCACCGCCCCACCACATCCGACACTGTTCAGTTCCTACCTCTGCTACTTCTCCTATACCCTGCCCACCAAGTGGACACAGCGGGGCCAGGCGGTCTTGGCGTTTCGGACCCTCCGCCGAGCTCGGCTTCACTCGGGGAAAGGACCGACGTCGGCACCGACGTCGGCACCGGTTTCCGGTGACATCGGCGGTGGACGAGAGACATGCCAAGACAGAAGGGCTTGGCATGGGAGGACAGGGAGATCTCCGGGTGCCGGCATGGTCTGGTGAAAAACGGCTCTACTTTGAAGATCTCTCTCTCTCTCTTGATCCACTTCCTGAGGGTCTATGCTTCTTCAAACAGGGTAATTGCTTTTTGGGGGATACTCCCAGTTTGACCCCACAAAAGTAGGCACCAGGAAGATGAGAGAACAGGGCCAAACACTGGTTTACACGGCAAAAGCAAGATGAACACTATCATGTTGGAACATTTTGGGAATGCCTTGATTGATTTTAAAAGATATTACAAGCGATATTCCATGGTTTCGTATAGCACGATGCATTCACGACAACATCCACTGTTTGATAGTGAAGAGTGTCACGTTTTTCAGTCCTCTCCTCTGCCCCGGAGTCAGGGACGCGAGACGTTGCGCGAGACGTCTGGGCGGAGCCGGAAAAAAAAGGCAAGAAGGATGACGGAGTAGTGATGGCAAACATGATGGAAAGCATGCTGTTCGGCTTGAATGGCTACTTCGCTGCACGTTCTGGAGATTCGGGAGGATTGAGGGATTTTTGCAGGTGGTTTTTCGGAACTTTGAACACTTGGAGGCTAGATGGCCTGAGATGGCCTGGCAGTCCTTTTTGTTCTTCTCCTTCTACCATGAAGAGGTTGTTTTGAGGGCAGTTTTTCGAACATGCCCACTTAAAGCAAGGGGACGAGAATCTCAATGGGCTTCCATCCGAGCAATTCAAGCCCCCCAAACATGCAAAACTACGCGCTCTCGGAGCGCTCCGCCCGCCCTCTCGGCGCGGTCCTCCCGCGGTCCCGCGGTCGGTGCACTGCCACAAGTCGCGGCAGCTGGGAGCAAACAACTCCACAACTGACAAGGACAGACATGAGTTGAATTCAGTGCACCTTGCCACGGAGCAACGAATGCAAGGCCTGAGGCTCCAGGTCAGACTCAGGCCAAGCTGCTAAGCTGATAGAAGAGCAGCTATAGAATCAAGTGGGACTTGGGGGCGGAACGGCGGAACATATAGTTATTTCCAGAAAACGTGACCCATTCTGTTCGGTGCAACTCGGTGGCATTTTCAGGCTTTCACCCCCTTCCGAGAGAGAACCTCCATGAACCTCCTCGAGATCTCGAGACAGAACGGTTGAGATCTCGACAGTCGGCGACCTTGGGCCGAGCGTGACAACCATCGCAGCGTCCAAGTAGGTTTCGAATGGTCCTAGCAGTCGTCGTGTCGCTATTTGCTATTTCAACCTTTGACTGAGGCAGGTCTGTCTTCTAGGATCACTCATGTTCTGGAACTATGCAAAACTGCCACAGCCCAATCTATTGGCTATGGTGTTTTCATTTGTTGGGAAGTCCCTGTCCTTCTCTGAGTGTCGACAGCATGCAACAAGAGCAGTGCTGTCTGTTAGCTCCGTGGCAAAATAATTGTACAGGCGTCACTTTGCCCCGAACACGGCTGGCCACAATTCGTCAAAGACTGCACGAGTGAGCAGTGCTCCTCGTGTTGACTGTCATAGAGTTGGCCATGTGAACGGTGGCCGCCCAAGGTGAAACGGCGGAAACGGATGGAGGATGGCTGAGGTGGCCCAAAGATGCAAAACAGGACATGCGTGAAAGGCCATGATCACCGCAATAAAGGGCTTGTGTTCCTATCCGGGTGCCTAAAAAGGTCTCGTTTGCGGCTTTTATGGATATGCCTCAGTATATCAGTGTATATTGTGACATTCAACCAAACTGCATGTGTGTGTCACGTCGATGGAGTTTCTCCTTCATCCAGTGAGATCTCCAACAAACCACGCGTCCCACGTCCTGAGACGTCACGGACATTCGCCCTGCTCCTTCGCCATCGCTCCACGGAATTCGCCCCGGGAATCGCCGTCGCCCGCGCCCGCTTTGCTCAGCGTCGATCGCCTCACTCGTGGCCCAGCTCTTCTTCCAGCTCCTCGATGCGCCGTTGCATGGCGATGATCCTGGCCGGTCGGCGGTGCGGAAGCGGTGGCGCCGCGGAAGCCGGTGGGGGGGGTTCCCCACCGGGATGGGCGGTGGATGGGTGTGTGTGTGTGTGACCTTAGAGTGGAAGACTTGGAGTTTGTGTGATCAATTCTGTGGAGCAAAAAGATTTTGTGCATCCTGGACATGATGGGCGATAGGTCATAGGTCGCCGGAGAGAAGGATGGAGCATTACAGCAGTCCCGGAACACCCACCACATGGAATGAGAATTTGGGGGGGGCCAAGCGCATCCAAGGACACGAGGTTCACTATATCTTGATATCCAGAGAATTCCAAGAGATTACCCGTACAGGGAGAACGGAATAAGGACAAGCAACAGTACGACCGCACCAGCTGTGTCACCCATTTTCTTAAGCAAAAGTGCAAAATAGAACCTTTGTCAAGCACAAAGCCCCTAGAAAAGAATTAATCTGCATGAGAGTCAAAGGCTTTCAAGGCATCTTGTGGTGTCAGCAGTCTACTTGACTCTTCCCAGCCGATTCCACGTCAAAAGAGGGTATAGAAGGGTTGAAGCCATTAGCTATTAGGTCTCTACCGAGTGCCAAGCGGCTGCTGATGAACCGAGGTCTTCTCTCCTTTCAACGAAGTCACCTTGAAACCCCGGGGCTCGGGCCGCTCGGGAAGGGAAGGGAAGGAGAGAGTGGGCTTCCAAGACGGCTTCTTTCGGCCAAGGTGCCCGTTCGCTCGTTCGCATCTCCCCACACCCCACGACAAACATTCTCGCAGCGGACTTGAGGGTGCATCTGAACTGGAATGAACTTGATGACTAGCTTGAAAAGGCAGCACCCAAGTGCCTTTTTGGATCGGACCTGGAACGGCGGCTGTGATCACAATACATCAATGCCATGCCATGGCATGTAACACATATTGGTTGGGTCTATCCCATTACCAGGGCCCAGTGAATGATGGTTTATTTGCAGGGCCAACGGTGTGTTGATATGTTGGGTCGGTCCGACCTGCAACAGGCAGGGTAAACAAGAACAACACGATTTTGAACGTTGGCCTGCCGGAGAACATACGCGGCGCGGCGCATGCGCGGCGAACAAACAGAACTGGAGACGACCGACCACGTGACCAGACCACGCACTCTTCGAAGGAGAAACCAATTCGCTGCAATAGGCGGTTGATGAATCAACAGGCCTGCCTCCATAGGAACATCCACGTTTTTTATTGGGGAGGAAGCCATTGGAGTTGATGAATCAACAGCCTCGAGCTCCCCTTCGCCAGTGCCATCCCACCCGAACCCGAGGGCCACGGGTATAAGAAACGCCGCCTGTTGCTGAAGTCGGACATTCTCAGCTTGCTGAAGATTCGATTGGACCTCCCACTGGTTGCAAAGAGGTGGGTTCAAAGAACTGGTACATGAGCTCAGGTC